CCTGTAGTCGTTCAGGCAGGTGACCGGGCTCCTCTTGGGAAGGTGGATGATGGTTGTGGTCTTAAAGCAGGTGAGAATGATGTTCTGGCTGAGGGAGAGGTTGAAGATGGAGGTCATCAGCCAGTCCGTTGGCACATGCCCTTAGAGCCCTTCCCAAGGATGTTGTCAGGTCTTGCTGCTTTGCGGGGGTTGATCTTCCTCAGGGTTTTGCATACCTGGCCTGATGAGACAGGTAATGGAGGTGGGGGGGTTGGGTGGTCCAGGTGTATGTATGCTTCCTCTCTGTGCTGTAGCTGGAGGTCTCAAAGCGAGTGTAGAAGGTGTTGAGGTCATCCGGCAGGCTGTCTGTGGAGCTGATGATGCTGGTGGTGGTCCTGTAGTCTGTGATGTGCTGCAGGCCTTGCCACATCCGTCCGGAGTCAGCAGTAGAATAGAAGCCATTCAGCTTCTCTCTGTACTGCCTCTTGGCTGCTGTGCTGGCTTTCCTCAGTCTGTACTTTGCAGCTTTGTACCACCCATGGATGTAGCGCTGCCACTCAGCCCTTCAACTAATTTCTCCCAGTGGTAACTCACAGGGTTCCATGGAGGTTTTAATTCATAAAACATTCCCATTTCAGTGTAATGTCTATAGACCAAGCGGGAGTGCACAGGCATGGGCAGTGGAGAAAAACTAATACGCATGTGCAGTGATCCCCATAAAGCACAAGGGAAACCAGAAAAAAATGTTTTTGGCGTACGTGCCAGGCAAGCAACTCTCGGTGGGAAGAATGGGCACCATCTTTTAATCTGTGATTCAACTTTCCAATAATACATCTATGGTAACACCACATTGATACTGCACATCATGTGACCCTTATATAATGTCAGTGGTTCATTCATTCAAGATGTGGAAGATAAACAACAGCACAGTGGAAACAAAACTGCACTGGTTTGAGTGTGGCATGGCAAGGCTCCGGCACACATGCTGCGACTTAGCATGAGAAGTCGACAATTGCCAATAGGACAGGGGAGTGGTGGGCAGTGGCCCTTATTTTGTTCATACTGAAGGTGACATCCCTATACTCAGGTACACCAAAGGTTTTCTACCAGGAACACAGTATTTCTAATATATCATGTACTAGTAAGTCTATCAACAAGATCCTCAAATTTGTTTTTATTCTTCAGCCAAATCTGGATATGACTGGTTTATGTATATCATGACTTAAACTAAATATTAAGATTAAATGACACTTCCGGGTCTGGGTGTACCAGTGCCCAACAAAGTGGTGGCATTGCCTTACAGGTCCACAGCCTGGTTAATCAAAGGAACATGTGACCTTAAGCAGACCTGCAGGAGACTGGTGTGCAAACAGCAAAAACCATACCTCCAACTCCAAGAGTGTGTACTGAATCAAAAACCTGCTCTGTCTGCTGCTAGAGTGGCTTATTTCTCTGCTTAATCAGTAACAATACACACAATCCTAGATTTCTTTTTGACATTGTAAACATGTATACTCTGCAGTAAAGTAAATGGCATTAGGTACAAAATTTGCTCCTCATCTCCAGCTACTTCTGCAGAATCAGTTAGGCCTCGACTTTCAGTTAGTGAGTTGTTCTTTGATTACAAGTTGCATTCTCCCTCTAGTCAGTCAGTGCACCCTTGTGCACATAAGCATCAAAGGCTACAATCACATTACTGACTGACATGACCAAAATCAATTCTCCTCCCTCAAGTTACTCAGATCTGAGTTTTTTCATGAACATGTGAACAAACCAAATTAGATTTTCTCACATCAGACTGGGGCCACTTCCTAGATCAGATCCATATCCAATATCTGACTCTGTGAGCACTGTCAAAATTGACAGATCAGAGTTCATGCGGTTTTTTTAAACATCTCTCTCCTTTGCACACTACACATGAAATGGTTACCGGTTTCACAGTAAACTATGATAAAACTTCCTCCACATACTGAAAGTACCAGCCAAGCGTTACATTAAACCTGTCTCAGCTAACATTTGATTCTGGCAGATGTGGCATCATTTCCTTACCTACAACAATAGCAGTGTTACGCTGGTAGGGATCATAAGGGCAGCGTCCTCTGCCTTCATCAGGCTTGATGGTCATTCTTAATGTCTCTGAGTTCTGCACAGAAAAAGAAAAAAGTCAAGCTGATATCAAACTAAATAAATCATACTAAATAAAATCAGAGTATTTTTCTGTGTAAACTGTTAAAATCCCATACTGCCAATCAATCAGGTGAAAGGTTTACACAACAGACTTACAATGTAGGTGCAACGTGGGCTGAAGGCAAACGTTCCACAGGCATAGATGTGGGAGGTGTTCAAAAACTGCAGTACACGAATAAAATTGGGACAGTCAGCCTAGAAAAGAAACACAAAGAATGTGAAGTTAGATGTTTTAGTTCAAAGTACAGGGCACAGTGTGTTTCTGGAAAAAAAACCTTTGGATTCAATACTAATTACAGAACAGAGATGTGCCATAAGCGCATGAAGATTACAAGACCCTCTGGACAGTGCACTTGAAATTTATTGGACTAACATTTAACAGCAAGCTAACTGTAAAGGAAATGTAAATGGTTGTTGTACAGCAGAAAGAAAAGTAAGTGAACCATTTGGAATTACCTGGTTTTCTGTAGTATTTGATCGCAAAATGAGATTGTCACCTAAGTCACAAGTGTACAATTATAACAAGTGTACAACAAACAATTATAACTCTCCATGTGTTTATTGAACACACCCATTATACATTTAAAGTGCTGGTGGAAAAATTGAGTGAACCCTTGGATGTAATAGCTGGTTGAAGTTCCTTTGGCAGCATTAACCTCAGACAAGTGCTTCCTGTAGCTTTGGCTCAGACCTCCATGATGCTCAGGAGGAATTTTGGACTGTGCTTCCTCAAAGAGCTGCTGCTTTTCCAGCTCCCACTACCTAGTCTGCCTTCACTCACTTACCTTTCATCAGTGCAATCAACTGCTCTGTGTAGCTGTCACTGACACAGTCAAAGCCACTTTAAGTAACCGTGATATCTGTTCTTTGTGGATGTTAAAACATTATACCCAGTACTACTGTCAACTTGGATTGTTTTGGACATTGGTATAGCTGGATTGCCTTAGAATTGTTGTGATTCTTTTGCCTTAGCTCACTGAGCCTCCAGGGTGCTCAGGATTGATGGTGTCGACATGCACTGTCATGTTAACCAGTGTGCTTCTCAGCCATTTCAGACCGGCTGGAGGACTGGTCGTCAAGGTGAAGAGGATCCTTTTGTTGTGCCTGGCTTGTGGAGAAGAACTGGATTTTGAACAGGCTCTGTTTTTTGGGATCATGGCAAGGAGAAAGAACTATGGTGAGTTAGCAGGGACAAAAGATGCTAACCTGGAGGAGAAAAATATGATGTTGAACATTCACGAGCTGCTTGATTTGCAGGTTTTTTTTAAAGACCTAATCAAACAAGAGAAAAATTGTAAATCATTTGTTCAGGTGTTCATGAACTGTACCAATCAAACTATTGACAATATCATGAAGGATCCATGTGAGATTAAAAAAAAAACAGAAAACTTCACAGGAAAGGATGGATCTGTTACCTAAATTCAGAAAAGCACAGTATAAGGAAAATGTTGCATACCAGAGGTAGGTAAAGCCAACTTACTGTCCACCAACTATGTTCCTCAAATTGAGACAAAACATTAGCATTAAACATGTGGATACCTGGAGAGTTATAGTTTTATGTTATTCAATGTGTTAAAAAGGCTTTGATTAGCACACCTAGATATACTGTATGTAGTCTTAGATATAAAGTACATGAGGTAAATCTGTTCCTCAAACACAACGCATATTTTTGCCCTTTCCAAGACTCATTTAGATACAACGTTTGATGTATCTGAATTGGCGAAGTAAGGTTTAAAATTACTTAGAAGAAATAGGGACAAGTATGGGGCGCTAGCGCTTTTTATGAGCAAGAATTTATAACAGCTGTGCTGAGGGATGATATCATATGTGGAGATACAGAAATCTTATGGCTGCAGATTCATATTCCATTCTCTAAATCTTTCTTTGTTGGTTGCTGTTACAGGTTGCCTAGATCAAATTTAGAGTTTGTAGATAAACTGTGTGAAAACTTTGATAGAGTTAAAAAAAAAAAGGTATCTTCTTTTTAGGTGACCTAAATATTGACTGGTTTTCTAGTAGCTGCAAATTACATAATAAATTGAACTTCTGTGTGTTCCATTTGTAATGTTACATAGATGATAAATCAGCCTACAGGAATTTTTCTACCATTAACAATATCACAATATCCACATGTACTAATCACATTTTTACTAACATAACAGAGTTGTGTTCAAAGACAATATCTGTCCCCATAAGATGTAGCAATCAAAACCGACTGTAGTAATAAGAAAAGCCAAAGTCCCCAAGCTAAAATGACGTTATAGGTCTTATGGGAAATTTAATGTTGATTTATTTCTAAATGACATAGAAACTGAGTGGTCTGACGTGTGCAAGTGAAGAGTGCCTTTAAAGTACTCAGGGACAAAATAAGAAAACTAAGGGACATACAATACGTGCTCCATTAAGGAAGCAATCTATTAAAAATATACAAAATGGAAGTTATTATACAGTACATGGGTCTGAAAATGTTAGAAATCTGCTGTCTAATCATATACTTACTTTAGATGACATAGCTCTGGCCTGCAATACTACTGTGAGGAACCTTGGAGTCATTTTTGACCAGGATATGTCCTTTAAATCACACATAAACCAAGTCTCTAGAACTGCCTTCTTTCACCTGCTCAATGTTGTCAAAATCAGGAGTATCCTGTCTCAAAGTGTCAGGTTTGCCCGGCTGCACCTACTTTCTCACTCCCCTCACTCTGTTTTCTCTCCCTTACCCTGATTATGCTATGCTTTACACCTGCTTGTCATCAGCTGCACCTGATTAGTTTCTCCCTATTTAGTCCCTGCTCTTCGTTCACTCCCTTGCCAGTTCTTTCTAGCTTTTCTCAGGCCCGTTTGTTCCCTGTTGTTCTTCTGATTCTGTGAAAGGCCTCCACTCTTTCTTTAACTGTGGCAACTTTAATCAACCAATATATGAATAACATGACAAGATAAATACCAGTGGGAGCCAAAGAATAAGTACTGCTAGAAAATGACCAATGAACACATTGAGTGTGAAATCATTGCAGGCTAAATGCTGCACCAAGTCATAGTCACAGAAATAGCTGTCAATAACAATCCTTCAACTCACACATAAACCACTATGAAAACACTAGAACTGCTCAATATTAGAAAATCAGGAGCATCCTGTCTCAAAGTGATGCTGAAAAACTGGTCCATGCATTTGTTACTTCCAGGCTGTACTCGTGTAACTCTTTACTATCGGGATGTCCCAATAATTCCCTAAAAAGCCTCCAGTTAATCCAAAATGCTGCAGCCAGAGTACTGACAGGAACTAGCAAGAGAGATCATATCTCTCCCATATTAGCTTTTCTCCACTGGCTCCCTTGTAAAATTCAGAATAGAATTTAAAATCCTTCTAACATACAAAGCCCTTAATGACAAGGCTCCATCGTATTTTAAAGACCTTGTAGAGCCTTATCAACCTAACAGAGCACTTGGCTCTCAGAGTGCAGGTCTACTTGTGGTTTCTAGAGTCCACAGAAGTAGAACAGAACAGGCTCAATTGCAAAAGTCTCAGTTGGCTGACTGGTCTCTCGACTAATCAACTACTGGGGGTAGCCCTAGTTATTCCACATGATCTCTGTTGGGCCGAGGTCTGGGCTATGACTGCGACACTCCAGATGTGATATTTTCTTGTTTTAAAACCATTCTGTAATATGTTTACAGGTGGCAGTCAGTCACCCTGACATTATCCTGTAGGATTTCTTGCTAAACTGGGGAATTTATTTTTCCCTCCACAATGGCAGCTGTCCAGGGGCAGCAAAGCAGCCCCAGATCTCGATGCTTCCTTCACCATACTCACTACTGCAATGATGCTTTCGTGCAGAAAACCAGGTCATTCTAAATGGTTCACTTACTACTTCTTGCCACTGTGTGTGACTTGTTTAGTTTGCTTAAAGAATTTGATCAGTTCACTGTATTTGTTCACCAGCACAAATCAACTACTTGCCATTTTCTTGCCTTTCATAGAACACTGTTCAAGGTCTCTGTCTGACGGGCTCCAGTCCAGCTGAAAGAAGAGAAGAGTTCCATTCATCACACCACAAGCTGCTGATAAGGTTTGATTTTTCATTAACACACAGGATGTTATTTCAACAGCTGCTGTAGAAAACTACATAAACACATGGTGTGACCTTTAATTATCTAATAATTAGCAGGCTAAATACCCACCATGGAAGCATGCCCGTGAAACTAAAGCTACTGTAAATATTGTATATACACTTCAACTAACAACAAACTCCTTTTAGTAGCTCAGCTTCAATTGTGATGGTCTCTTTCAAACCTCAATCAATATCTTGCTATGGGAAGCGCCCTCTGGCGTGACCAATCACGGAAGGTCCTAATCTGTGGTTGCAAAGGTTTTCTGGGAAAAGTGGCGCATGACAGAAATGCAGGTTTGCCAATATTTTTGGCCACTACTGTACTTAACATTTTACACTGTTTCCAACTGCAATTTTCAGCATGTGTGCAAAAAAATTCACTTTGCATTTATGAATACTTAAGTTAAAATGTAGGGAGAGTGATCGGTGTTTCTGTAAGTGGTCAGCCAGTGTTGGCTTGCCCACCTTACTCCTCAGAGTGATGGAGTCCTTGCGGCTAACATCCAGTGCTAGTACAGCATCCCGGGCTCCTACATACAGCATGTCTCCATCCTCGCTGAGCAGCAGGGTGGTGGTGTTACAGACATCAGGGATATTGAAACAGATGACATGCCTCCCAGGACTACCTGTTGTTTCACAGCAGTTGACACCGGTGTCAGATGTTTCATTCACTTACCAGAAACAACTAAAAGCTTCCTGATGTATGTAGATGGCAATCTGCTCATCTCGATCAGTGTATATTCTGTTATTCATTCAAACAAGTCATTCCAAGTTATGTCACAAAAACTCTGGTAAATGACACATACAAACTTTGTAGGTGAAATTCATGGAAGTCCATATATCAGGTACAACGGCAAATCAAAAAGTTAGAATGGTATGTAGAATCTAAATTAAAACTGAAAACAGTGATGTGCAAATCCTCTGTGTCCTGTGCTACACTGAAAACACAGCAGCACATTATTAGATGTGATACTTAATCAACTTTATTCTTTGTTCAAAATAAACACTCACTTCAACTATGACGCTGCAACATATTCCAATACAAGTTTCAGGGCCAGTAATGAGGTAAAACAATGAAATGATGATTCCATGTGAACCAGGTGATGTCAGCAGGTGACTGCATCATGACTTGGTACAACAGTGGCATCCAGGAAAGGCCAAGCCCTCTAGGAGCAAAGATGGGCAGAGGACCGCCAGTTTTCCAACATACTGTACATATGTGTGAGAAAACTGTCACATATTCACTGCTCTGTGACATTTATTAACCCTGTGCACACTCATTTTGCTCCTCACCCAGGGGGGCAGTGCTGCAGCTGCACAAGAAAACACATCGCTGAAAATTAGTCTTTTTTTTTTTTTACTTTATCAAATCCCTTTTGTGTTGCGTGCACTGTGCAATTCTTATTACCTGAAGATGAACTTGTGGTAACAGACTGACAGGTCACAAAACACAGTATAACACCAGCTTTTGGACGAGCACTCTCCCTTCTCAGTTTATCAAACATAACTTCTTAGTTTAATGCTCAATAAATATTGAGAACCCTCTCTCAGATATTACATTTAGCAGCTGTCAGTGTTGCGGAGCGATCTCTCATTTATTTATGTCAGTTTTTTATTCTTTGTTGATCACTGTCAGCAAAGGAGACTAAACAATAAGGAATTCATTAAAAACATCTCAGCAGGCTGGAGCCACCTCCAAGAAGCCTAAGCTAAAATTTTACCTCAATCATATGATTTGTTTTTGCAAGTTCGCCAGATAACCAAACACACACCTGCTATTATGATACTGGTTTGCTAACAGTATAGTGAGGTTGCTTATCCATCTTGATTAACTGTGGAGCTGTTACCAACATGGAACCAGATCTGGCAGCTCCAACTATAGGGGTTTTTATATTATAGGAACTTTACCAAAATGTATCGAGCAGAGTAACGATCATCATGGGTTCTACGTTTACTTCCAGGAACACGATGGGGAGGGGATGTATGCATGCAGCACAGTCACCCATGACTGATTAAATATTCACTCTTCATACCCATTAGTATTACAAGCGCGGTGTGTAAAGAGGCACTTGCTTTAAGCTTGATTTATGGTTCTGAATTAAATCTATGCTGCGGCCTACACTGTAGCCTGCTGTGCATCTCTCCAGAAAGAAAACTGCATGTGGTGGCAATGCAGACAACAACAACAGCTGTAATTGGCTGCATCCCATTTCCTCATTCATGTCTCTCAGTGGCCGGACAAGCACAGAAACCCCCCCTTGTTCTGCTTCAGTTCAGTGGTTGTACAGACCACGTCCTCTGACGTTTTCTCTCTTATCTGTGTTGCAGTAATTTCAGTAAAAGTAACTGCTGTTCAACATCTATTAACTGCAACATGACCAACTCAGTTTCAGTCACCACTGTTTGTAAGTGGTGAAGAAATGCAGCACAGTGGCATAAAAACCCTGCTACTAACTAGCGTTTTGGTGGTGTAATTGCAGGGCAACACAGACACACAAGTATAAATGCTCACAACAGTTGAGGCCACTTACAGTTGAAGTCAGAGGTTTATATATACTTTGGTTAGTCATTACAACTGTGTTTTTACACAAATGTCATGTTAACAAACTCTCGATTTGGCAAGTAGGTTAGGACAGGAGATTTTTCCAACAGTTGTTTACAGATAGATTATTTCACTTATAATTCACTATATCATAATTCCAGTGGGCCAGAGTTTTACATACTCAGTTAACTGTGCCTTTAAACAGCTTGGAAAATTCCAGAAAATGTCATGGATTTAGAAGCTTCTGATTGGCTAGTTGACATCATTTGAGTCAACAGCAGGTGCACCTTGGGTGGATTTTAAGGCCTATCTGCAAACTCAGGACCTCTTTGTTTGACATCATTGGAAAATCAAAAGAAAGCAGCCACGTCCTCAGAAAAAACAGTGTGGATCTCCACAAGTCCATTTCACTCTTGGGAGCAATTTCCAAATATACAAATACTGTACATCTGAATTGAATTGAATTAACCAAGTGTATGTAAACCTCTGAACCACTGGGAATGTGATGAAAGAAATAAAATCTGAAATAAATCTCTCTTATTCTGACATTTCACATGCTTAAAATGAAGTGTTGATCCTAACTGACCAAATACAGGGAATGTTTATAGGATTAAATGTCAGGAGTTGTGAAAAACGGAGTTTAAAAGTTAGCCTATGGCGCAGGCTCCATGTACTGTAGATTAAATGCAAAACCATAAATCAGGCTTTAGAGGTGAAGGGAGGACTTCACTTGTTGGTTTAGAGACAAAACAGAGACTTCAGTTGTTGTTTGATAAACTACTAATACAGTAGGGCTGCACGATAAATCATTTTGTGACTATGATTTATAGCCCCAAGGTGATCTCAGTCTCATGTGACAATGATTCTGCCGTGTTTGCATTAGCAGGAGACGCCTTGCATCAAACCAAGTACTCCAGGTGCCTCCAGTCCATGTGTCAAAGTGTCCTTGGGCAAGACAAGTGTCCTTGTCTTGCCCACTTGTTCCCCCCCCCGTTGCCCCTAATAGTTAGAGCCATTGATTGAGTTGGCGCCGCAGATGGCTGCCTCGGTTCTGTACCGGAAACAAATTCCTTGTGTGTAACATACTTGGCCAATAAAGGTGATTATCCCTATCCTCCCCTTTCCTCACTAAGCTACGTTAACCAATAGCAGGAGGTAGAGCGGGTCGTTTCCTAACCGGAGGATTAGCGGTTCAATTCCTGGCTTGTCCAGTCAACATGTCGAAGTGTCCTTGAGCAAGACACTGAACCCCTAGTTGTTCCCAGTGATGTCACCGGTGTGTGAATGCGTGAGTGCTTGCTTGAGAGTACAAATGGGTGAATGGCTGAATAATGTGAAAGCACTTTGAGTGTGCTTTAAAAAGCATAGAAATACGCTATACAAGTATAAGACCAAGACCATTACATCATGTGATGAGCTATAAGCAGGAAGAGACGACTGATTCAAAAACAAATCCAACATGTTTGATATTGTCAAAGGTATTCTGCTCCCTCCTGCAATTAACGTTGCGCTGCCTGCCCTGCACACCTAGTGCCGGATGGCAGTTGAGGCAGAAATAAATTGCTTTGAGGTTACTGGTTAATGCAGCTTAGCGAGGAAAGAGGAACGCTTAGTTCCTCACAAAACGATGTATCATACAGTCTCCACTAATTGCTGACTGTTGTACTATGGAGTGATCCTTCACATTGTCTTCTAGCCCTCTCCTCAGCTAGCTGCTGTGTGTGACAGGGGCCCAGCTCTCCCTCCTCTAAACAGAGACTGGCAGTGAGAAAATAAAGGAAAACAAAGCAGGATGGTCTGCATCAACCTGGGAGGCTTTGTGGAGCAAAGTATGGTATGTTCACTAGGTTATGATAATGGAAATGCAGCAAATGAGAACCCATCTGTGGTCTTGTGGTTGTCTCCTTTGACTGCCACACTGCTACTTTA